CCAAGAAGTTGCTGGAATGCGGCGGAGGGGCAATGGTAGTAAGCGGACGAGTTCATGGAGGGTGGTGTCCACGAGTGTGCGAGGCAAACTCTCAGGAGCTTCACACTCTTCCCAGCTGCAAGGTCGATGAGTATCATCAATGAGAAACCTGCGGTATTTCTTCACCATGGAGAGGAGGGAGTTCCAGTCCTGAAATTTGTGGTCAAAAATTTCATATCAAAGGTCAATAGGGCCCGAAGGGCGAATGTGAAGCCAAAAAGGTGTGGTCCAAATTTGTTGCTGAGGACCAATCTCGATAGCGACCTCCATGATGTTGTCCATGAAGTAGCCCAGTTTGGCTGAAGCTTCCAAGGCGGTGAAGTCGGGTGGATGCCGAGACCATTGGAGAGACAAACGTGGAGGTGTCACTGGTCGAGTTGGGCGATGAGGAGTGGAATCGGCCTGGTTGGAGGTTGGAGGCTGGGTGGACGCTGAAGTGGAGAAAAGGGAGATAGAAAGATCGGCGGGTTCCGTGACAGCGGGCGCTGGTGCTGGGGCGGTGGTGGAAGTGTTGGCGGGTGAAGAAACGGTGGGTGGTTGGGAAGGTGGAGTCGGTATGGAGGGCGAAGGAAGAAAGAACTGGTAGGGGGAAAAGAAAGGATTGAAGGAAGAGTGGAGGAAAGCTTGTTGATGTTGGTGATGAGCAGCTTGTCGTTGCTGTTGAAATTGAAGGCGGAGTTGGCGAAGTTCCTCTTGTTCAGAGGCAGGAAGGGTAGTGAGTGGGATGACTGGCGGAGGTTGAAATGCCTGTGGTGGAGTCGTAGGTCGTGAGGTGGTATCCGGTGGTGTGGGTTGTGGATGTGGTCGATCGCCCGGTCCAGGAAGTAGCCTCAAAGGGGTAGCCACCGAAGAATCCTGGTCAGAAGGAGCATGAACGGAGGCAGGAGGCGAAACAGGTGTGCTGTGTGAAGTGGCAGGAGGAGCTGTTGTTTGGTCCGCCACTTGCCGGTATGGCTCCCGTGGTCTGTCGCGATGCTGGCTAGAATGACCAGATCTGGGGCGGTTGGGTGTGCGACGATGCTCCTGGGGCCCTCTTTGGTGTGTGCGAGAGCGGCGTCGCCGAGAATGTGAGCGGCGACTGCGACGGTCGTCCTGTCGGGAGCGTGATGCTGCATGAGAGCGGTGTCGATATCCCCGACGGCGGCGAGAGTAGGCAGAGCGGCTCCTGGGAGAACGACGCCGATCATGGTGTCGTGCAAGTGGTGAACGTGTCGTTCGTGAAGTGTGTCTGGGACGTGGTCGTGGTCCATATGGATTGGGGGGCTGTGGGCCCGTGGCACGTAGTTGAGACGGTGGAAAACTTGGGAGTGGTGCTGGGACGCGTGGTGGTGGGAAGAATGAGCCGGAAAGATGTGCGGGTGGAGTGGGAGGAAAAGGTGGATTGGACCGTGAGCGAGTGAAAGGAGGATCAGGATTCGAGGGTGGGGCGGAAGTGGGAATGTTGTGTTGAGACGAGTCGCCCGCAGTGGGGTCGGAGTGTGGTGGCGGATCTGGAACGCTGCGTGCGATCTCAGTGCCGGGTGGTGGGTTGATGGATGGTAGGGGAGTACCCTCGTCATCACCGTAATCAGGTTCTTCCATCTGAGGTCGGGTGTCCCTGGAGCGAGAGCTGCGTCGAAGATCACGTCGTGAATGAGGGCGAGTGGAGTCCAGAGAAGAACCAGAGCTCACCATGAGGTCGGAAAACGCCCGGAATTAAAAACACTGTCAGTGGCAAAGGACATAACATCCCTAAAGGTGAGAGAAGAGGATTGACAGTCATCATGTAAATGCTTGTAACTCGGTCTGGAGCCAAACAGGAAGAGAAGGAAAGGAAATGCGAACAAGCAATACTAGAAGTGAAAGAAGTAAAACAAGAAGTGAAAGAAGTGAAACTGGCGCATAGTGGAAGACATTCCTTTTTGGCTGCCTGGCAAGAAGTGAGGTGAAACTGAGAACTAAGATCTGGTCGCGCGAGGGCGAGAGCGAGATCTCGAGCGTATGTGAAGACGATGTCGTGGTAGATGGCGAGAAGGCAGAGGACTGGGAGAAATAGGAATCCGGGTAGTGGTGTTGGGAGTCCTGGTAGTTCGCGATGAGGTCGTAGTAGGATGTGGCGTATCAGATCGAGTAGACAGGGATGCACGATCGCCAAAGTCAGTGCGGCCTTCAAGTTCGTCTTCAAGTTGTTCCGGGCTCTGTTGAATAATATGAAGGAGGCCCATGGCGGTCAGGAGCTCGTGGGTGTAATGGACAGCGGTGTGGTTGAGGCGAAGGGCGAGAAGGAGTGTGTTGTCCAAACCTTCAAGGTGAGCTCGAAGTTGTGGGTGGGTGACCCGAGACATAAATGGAATCGTACGAATGCTGAGCGGTATATGGAGGAGGGCGTGTACCTGGGCCAAGAGGACATGTACGAGTAGAAGTTCACGATGAAGCACGAGGTGGGAGACCGTGGATCGGTGCCAAACCACATGTCGAAGCCATGGCAGAAAGGCAATGAAACCAAAGGATCGAGACGAGTCGTCGCTAGTGAGCCAAAGATAACATAGGAAAGAGATAGAAACAAAGAGATAGAAACAAAGAGATAGAAATAAAGTCGGCGATGAAAATGAGTGATCAATCCAAAACAGAAAACAGAAAGCAGAGAGCAAGAAGAACTTTTGCTGCAGAAAAAGGTTCGATTGGTGAGAAATCGGCTAAAGTCGGAAGCGTCGAGGAGGAGAACGTGAACGAGAGGGTGAGTGAGAACTTGGCCTCCTCGTCAAGGTCGAAGGTGGAGCTGAATGAGTCAGAGAAGAAGGAGGAGCGTGAGGAGGAGAGGGAGCCGTGGTCGTAGTCCTCGTCGTCGTCCCAGGTGGAGAAGGAGGACACGGATAGAGGTGCAGGATGGGTCGAGGTGAAGAGAGGGATGTAGGAGAGGAGGTCGAATGGCCAGTAGGATGTGGAAGTCCCAAAGTGGAGCAGAGTTCATCGGTGTAGACCAGTGTAGTGCAGGTAGATCGTCGAATCTGTTCAATGCTGGTCTCCAGTGCACGAAGGGTAGCTCTGAGACGAGGGCAGGTAATCGTGCCCACAATGGAGGGAGTGACTGAATCCAAAGGTCCACGTAAAATCAAGAGAATCAAATGTAACGACGAATGTATGTGAAGAAGTTCACGATGAAGTACCTCATGAGCAGCAGCAGGTAGTCCAGCGATGGAAGCCAATCCCGTAAGTCCGGTCGGTGTCGTCGTAGATGGCATCGACATGGCGGCAGAAGGAATCGAAGGGACGAGGTGTAGAGCGTAGGGAAGCTGAAAGCCACAGGAAATAAGTGTGTATAGTTGAGAGGTAGTGTCTCAAAGTTCAGGAAAAAGGTTGGTAACACCAAAGAAGGCCATTTTCTCAAGTGATCGGAAGAATGAACAAAAGAGGTACCTAGAGATTCCTAGGGTTCAAACGAGGGTGAGACCGAGAACGAGACGGTGCTGTACTGGATCGGTTAATCACAGGTCTACGTGGAGTATGTATCATAGGAGGTCTCGGTGATGCCGTCGGAAGGGATCTGGTAGATGTCATAGTTCGAGTCGTAGTTGAACCCAGAGGAGTAGGAAAAGACGGAAGGCGGGGGTCAGGGAAGGTCGAGCATCCTCGTAGTTCGGCATCCACTTGAGTGGTGTCGCAATTCAAGGCATGCATCATCCCAAAAGTAGTGACCCCATTGTGGATCGCCTGAGTCGCCTGTCGAATAGCTGAGAACAGGCCTCGAATCTGAAGCTGAATATGTGGTGAAGTAATGTAGTCCATGAACGAAGGTTGGAGGATAGCAAAGCGAGTGCGAAGAAGGGAGGTAGCAAGAATCAATAGACCATGTAAATGAAGTATCTCTCGATGTAGGATCGTCTGGGCTCGCATCGTGATGCCGTCCACAGGAGTGAGACCAGTTGGAGAAGGGAACATGGCGAGAGGAGGAGGATCAACTGAAAAACTAAGGCTCCAACAGGTCCCAATGGACCTTGAACAAACTTCGGCCACTGCGGCCACGTACGCCGTGCCAACGTGGCTGGCTGCTTTGACCGCTGCGGTCACGTAAAGGCATGAGCCAACTTGGAATTCCAAAGATGGGGCAAAATCATCGGACGTACGGCCTAGGCCACCTTCGCCCGCTGTGGGCACGTACGTTTCCAGAGCAAGGGAAACAGCGACGTACACCCGTTCGACGGGTCCACGGGAGGCACTCTGCGGGCTCATCCCGGGTTGGCACGAAGCCAAACACACTCATGGATATGCGTACTGACTTGATAGCGGTGCCACACGCCGGCCTAGGGTTCCAATTCCTAAGGGTACAGGTAAGGAAACCTAAAAGGAAGAGGAGGTCCATCCAGCGGAGGTCCCAAGGTTTCAGGTGGCCAGCAACTCCAAAAGAAATCACCGATCGAGCGGACGACAAGGTGACGACGAACTGCAGAAAAGCCAAGTTCATCGCCGCTGCAGTAGCCCTTTACTGAAGGAAACAACGAAGTAGACAGCTTGTGCTCTACGTAGGTTTCTCTCTCGGCAGGTACGTCTGGCTGATCAGGCCAGATATCCGCATGTACTGTGGCCGCTTCGTTGGACCATCGCGCACAGTACATGGATGGTCCCCCTGCAATAAAACAATTGCAAAAGCATCCCTATGACTCCAAGGGTGACACACACACACAATGGGAGTGTGGTGCAAATTGCGGAGAATAAACGGCCCTCCGCGGAAGCTGTGCAGGGAATCCAAACCAGCTTTGAGAAGCAAAAGCCTTCTGTGGTTCAATAATGGCAGGTTCCAACAAAGCAAAGCAAATGACATGCCCCAAAACACATGTATATACATGCCTGTCAGTCTGTCCCTTTTGTCTTGGTGTGGCGCTCTCTCACAAGCACACTTGAACACTGATGTTGCATCCTCCTGGATGGCTGCACGCAGCAGAATTTGCTTTATCTTCCTCACACTGGAAGTTGGAAAAACGCGCCTGACTCGTCCGTGGCAAACGCACTCCTGCAACCCATTCAACGCTTCCATTGCAGAGTGACAATTCACAATGTTGACTTCCCAGGAGCAACAAAGGCCTCCCACTGGTTGGCACAGAAATTCCAGCCACCAGCTGTTGAAGAGTTGTCAGCCTTGCTCAAAAGACCGAAACCAACTGCGCCGAGCCCCTAATTGCAAAACAACTGTTCATCTTTGCCAAGATGCCAGGAGATCAAGGATCCTTGAATTGAAAGCTGCTTGAGTGGAGATGGGGAGGTGCAGCACATCCGAAAACGAACAGTACATTGCACATGTGCTGACTTGTCATGTCAGTGAAGTATCTCCATCGGCTTGGAGCTTTCTTTGTGTATCAGCCCAGATGTTGGAATCAGGGCTGACACCATCATCAACATCCTGGCATGTCCCAGTGGGTCCGTGCAGGCACTCTGAAACGGTTTGGCACCCAACCCACCTCCAGCATGGATGCCTTATCTGCTCGAAACGCACTCCCTGTCTTCATTGAAGTGTTTTCAAAATTTACGACCTAAAAAACAATAAATACACGATCAATCATTGCTGCACAGCGCGGGAATCAATTAGTTTCATGCTGGAATGCAGGCCGAGATTCATTGGCCTTGAGGTATACGAAGGACACATCTACATTTGAATGAATGCTCGAGCAGGTGCTATGACCCTGAAAATTTCTGCAGGAAGCTGCATCGCTGATGATTGAAAACACAGAGGGGGTGACTCATCGAAAAGCAGTCCATGATTAAATTGCAATGGCCGCCGTGTTTCCATAGCAGGGCCGAGTCCGAGTCTATTTCACTCGGCAAACTTTGTCTGCCGCAGCAAGTGAAACAAGAAACGAATTGTGCAACGATGGGGTCTGATCCTCTTTCGCGACAGCCGGTTTAGAGTGACGGTCCTGCTACTCTTGTGAAATTACTACAGTTTATGCAGCAACTGCCAGTTCAATCACTATAAGTATGTGCATTTATAGCTATATAACCTTTGCAAAAATAGTCTGGCATTGTCTTGACTAGCGTTTTTTACGCGTGTCTGCCTTTTTGTTGGCTTTAAACCACAATGGTCGAGAAGAATTGGGCTGCAACTTGCTTCCCAAATGGTGTGCATCTGCGCCCGCTCCCCCTTGTGACATCATCGCGGCGAACATTTGTGCGCGTAGCAATTGTACTTGTTTCACCGCAACACTCTTCCGGTAGCTGTTTTGGATGCTAAGGATGGCCTGCATCTTCATCTTCTCCATTCGAACTTCAGCTTCAGCTTCAGCTACCTGCTTGGATTCACGCATCCCTTGAACTAGCCGACGTGCACACACCCCACGGTACAAAGCCTGGATCTTTGATGCAGCTTCTTCCATCTGCTGCTTCACTTTTCGAACAGTCCCGTAGAATGCAATCACTTTCATCACTCGCTGTGCCAGCACTCTGCGCCACCAGTGTTGTATTTTGAGGCAAGCAGTTTGTCGATCAGATTCTTCGATGTGCAAGCCATGCACGCAGTGGCGCAAATCCAAAAGCACGGTGTCAAGCTGGCGCTTGGCCAGCTGAAGCCGCTGCTGCTCCAAAATGTCCATCAAAGGTACCAGCTGCATTCTGCGCATCCCAACTCTCAACCACCAATTCTGCAACAAGCATGCTGCATCATGCTCACGGTGCCGTTGCATTTGGGAAGCCGTCCATTCTTCTTCTTCCATCTTGAAACCACTGTCATGTTGTTCGACTCGCGAAACTGCTGCTTCATGTCTCGCTCGGGTTTCTTCAAGGCGTTTCTTCGCGCTGGACAGCTCATGTTCAATGAGCGCCACTCCCAAATCTGCAAGTGGCCCAGCCATGTGCGATGCTAAGCCGCTAGGCGTTACCACATCGCACAATCCATCAGCAAACCCCGCCCTACCCTACCCAGCCGCGACACATATCCAAGCCACAGCTTCGGCTTTGATCCCTACACCACTCCAAGCTTCAACAGGGAATGTTCAACGCGTTAACTTTTAAGAAACTACTGCACGCAAAGGCAACAATTATTTTGTCTCGTTACATTTCACACACATGCTTGACTCCGAGATCAGCAAGGTAACCTACCAACTCAGGCGGAATGGTTGGTGAAGGTGTGCCCCAACTTTGTTGAACCGCATTTGCGTCGACCTTGGAGCTTTGCGCAATAACTTGTTTCCACCGCGACCAATGTGTTTGGCCAACACTTTTAAGTTACACCACCGCAGGCCCAAACAGATGGGACAACAACGAAGCATTCCCAAGTCCACCTTTTGAGACGTCAACAAGAAAGGGAGGCAAGAAGGGAGACAAAAGGAAACAGAAGGAAGACAAGACGGACACAATGACAAACAAGAAGGAAACAGAAGGAAGATAGAATTGAGACAAGGCGGACACAATGACCAACAACAAAGGAGACAAGAAGGCCAGCAAGAAGCGAGACAAGACCGGAGACAAAGTGAGACAGAAGGGTGACAAGGCGGACACAATGACAAACAAGAAGGGAGACAAGAAGAGAGACAAGAAGGGAGACAACACGGACACACTGACCCACAAGAAGGGAGACAAGACCGGAGACAAGGGAGACAAATGGGAGACAAGGTGGACACAGTGACAAGAAGGGAGACAAGACCGGAGGACCTCGGAAACAAATGAATAGAAATGCTACATGGCCAGCGGAAAAGGGCGGACACCAACAGTGAATAGAAGTGCTGCATGGCCAGCAGAAAAGGGCGGGCACCAGTGACAGACCGGGAGACAAATGAATAGAAATGCTACAAGGCCAACGGAAAAGGGCGCGGACACCAGCAGCGACAGACCTGGGAGACAAATGAATAGAGTTTCTACATGGCCAGCGCAAAAGGGCGGACACCAGCAGTGACAGACTGGGAGACAAATGAATAGAAATGCTACATGGCCAGCGGAAAAGGGCGGACACCGGCAGTGACACAAAGGGCGGACACGTCTTAAGAAAGAATTGAGAACCCCTAACAGTAAACTGTTGGTGGAAAATCAACCTTTTCTGCTTCAATGAGCCACTTGTCACTCAAGCAAGTAAATTTCAACACGTGCACTTGGAGTTTTTTGTAAAAAATATGCAAAACTTCTTCGTCGCTAGCTCTGCAGAAGTTTGGAATTTATTCTTGGACAAGTCCATCTCCCTTCTTACCATCGTCATTCGTCGTGCCATCATCTTCTTGGCAAGCTCTTGGTGATAGGCAACTTCGCCCACTTTTGAGAAGGTCTCATCCTTTCCTTCAGCCTCCATCTCCACAATGCCGAGGTACAAAGCCTCTTTGCGCGCAGGTCTGACACGTTCCACATTGTTGGGATGCCCTCCATGGTCAGCGTCTCTTTCCTGATCAAGTTGCACGTGTTCCAGGCGTCCAGCTCCAAAAGGCTCTACATGGGCTGCTATCGCTGATGGCTTTAATCACCACTGATCTCCTGCTCAAGAAATTCCAGAGATTTTTCACCTGGATTGCTTCAGCACTGCCACCAGCGGCCGCTAGAAACTCAGCCTCACATGAACTCAAGGCAATGCTCTTCTGCGACCTGGACCAGCTGGCGATCAAACACCCGTTCAAGAACATGAACGTAGAGCTCACGCTATGTCTTCTCTTCTTCGTTGAAGATTGATCACCGGCCCAATCACTGCCGCTAAAGTTCTCTAGAAAATATGGTCCATGAAGTTCTTCTGTTTGGCCAAGAATCTCTGCCTTCTCACTGCGGAATTTTTGGTATGCAAAAAAAACATACCGTTCAGTCCTCTTGAGATAGAGAGAGGATCAAATGTTTCACCTCAGACTCTGCCAAACTTGTTGGCTTGGCCATGAACTGCTCAAATTGCAAACGTTATGTCCCGGCTGATGTAAAGCAGCGTCCCCAAAGCAGACCTGAACCTGAATTGATCCTCTCCTTCAAGGCAGTCTTCCGGTGGTCCTTCAAGGCTCATCTGTGCGCTCTCTGGGGTGGCACGGCTAACACGATGTTCCAACTTGTAGAGCTCAACCAGGCTTGGGGTGTACTTCTATGACTCACAATTCCTTCGGCAGTGAAGTAGTGCCTCCTCTTCAAACATCGAATTAGTTCATCTTCTGGTTGATCATCTTGCAAAAGTATCCTAGGCTCACTGGGCACAAACTTGTTCCTCATTTAACAGACACTCCAAATCCCCAAGCTCTCCAGCTACAATCAGGTCATCAACATGGCAAACTGCTGCTAGCGCTCTTCCTTCATGCCTGAACAACGACGGCAGGCTCAAATGACGACAAAACCCAATATCCTCCAAGTGACTGGATAGGTGGTCGGACCATCTTACAGCAGCACCTCTTTGGCCTGGAAGGCATTTCAAAAGAGTTCAAAAGCGCTTAGCTCCATGGGGCAATGTCTCCACCTCCTCACCACCAATGAAACTTCTCAACCAACACTAGCTTCACCTAGTCCACGAGCAGAAATGCATCTTTCACATCAATGAAAGTAAGTTTCCATCAAAGGAGTGTGTGAACTGCGAGCAATAGGCGAGTGGCACTGACCGCAAAAGTCTTGGAGTTTGAACTGTCACCAGCACGGAATTTTCTTGCCACCAAACGGCCTCTGCGCTTCCAATGCCTTTCGAAACCTCCAGTCATAGCTCTTCAATTTGTTGCAACTCCACCGCACTCAACTCCGGAGGATGGCCTTCTTGTGTATCATCTACCTCCAACGAAGGCATACTGCTCTCAAAGTCATTGGCATAGTCTTCGACCTCCTGTTCCCATTGGTTTTTTTTCCCCCTCGGAGGCGACCTGTCTTGGCGCGGGCGCTCTATGTACAGCCGGGCATTGCCGGCTCACGGCCGCAGGGGGAGGCGACTCGGCGCGGGCCCCCCGGCGAGCGCCAGGATCTCCCCGAGGGGGAGTTCGGCGGGGCCAGTGGGGCAGGGTGGCGCGCGCCAGTCGTCCCCCAACAGCGTCGAGCACAGGGCGCGCTGGAGGGCGACGCCAAGAAGGCCCCACCAGCGGCGGCTCCACCCGGCAGCAGCAGCGGTGCGGATAGCGGAGGGGGCGCGCCGGGCGCGAATTCGGACGAGGCGGCGCACGAAGGTCAAAGACTCCGCGTTCCAGCGGCCACCGACCTCGCAGGCAAGAACGAGGAGCTGCTGCGGGCCTCCAGCTGCAAGCTCAGGGTACCGACGGCGTTTGCGCCGCTCAGCCCGGCGGAGCGCGACTCATCAACAGCCAACGCTGTCTAGTTCACGTTGCCACAAACTGCGGGGGGATAGAGGTTCGTTGGGCTACCTTTGGTTTTTTTCTCAAAGTTTTCCTTCTCGATTCCTCCACCTCTCCTTCATCAACCACAGCATCTTCTGCCCTCGGAGTTTGAGGCCTCTTTAGCTCTGGTGTGACTGGCGCTTTCACTCCAACATCATCTAAGCCGAGAGGAAGAGGAGGAGCTTTCACATACTTGTCAGCTGGAGCATCTTCATGGCTGCTTGTTGCTTGTCTCCTTTCTCCCTGTTTTTCCTCTCCTGGACTTTCTAAACCTCCGTGTTCTCGAGCACAACGCTCGACATCCTCTGCATCCTGATCTCGAGGTAGTTCACCTTCTGGAACCTCTAACTCTGGTTGCGTTGTTTCTTGCTTCTTGGGTCTGCCTGGTCCTCGAACTCCTCTGGGCACCATGGGTGTGGACGGCATGATCCTGATGGGTGGCCTCTTAGCTCGTGGGGCTTGTCCTTGACGAGGAAGGGGTATGTAGACCTCCATAGTTCACTTGTTCTCCTAACAGCCTTTCCTCTCATCACACCACCGACTCTAATAACCAAGCGCTGGTCATCTTCATGCGTTTTACCAAGGTCCTTGCTTTATCCCAGGCTGCCGGTGTAGGAGAAGGACATACTCTCCAAAGCAAACCGCCTTGCCAATGTAGCGACGACCAAAGGCAATTTCGAAAGGATTTGAGCTCAGAGCACTGCGAACTCCAAACCTGTTGAGAATCCGGGCTCCATGTAGGTATGCCCAGTACCATAATGAATGGTTCCCATCCAAATGCAGCAAACAACGGGGTTCGGCCATCTCCATCTATGTCGATGCCTGCTTTCGAAGTGTGGTGATTGCTCTTTCGACTCGGCTCGTCTGGCCTTCTTTCACGCTATTGGTGATGGTGGTCTCGAGTCCCAAACTGTGCCTAATAGCCTTCACATAGGTGAGCAAGGTCTTCATCGTGGGTTCGCTGTCGCCAATGATGTCCACATTTCCATGGTGGTTGAGGGAAGTGCGAAGCGAACCACATGTTTTGCTTGGCCTCTCGAATCAGCACCTTTTGAATCCACGGGCACTGACAACAGCATTCTTGTCTCGGCATCAACGCCTACCACGGCAACCACAAGATCTTCTTGACCTTGGCTTTTCTGCTCTCCTTCCAAACGAAAAATCCAGTTGAATTGCAAGGACACTCCTCCTTCCTTTCTCTGTAGTGTGGAGGAGTCGCTGAGGATCGCTCTTGCCCTTCAATGCCACACAGAAGTCACACCAATCTCGATAAGGCACTCGAGTGAGATCGTGAAGTTCTCTCTCTTCTTTGAGAAGGTTGTCGAGGAGCACGAACGGCCACCAATCCCTTGTGTCGGTTCTGTTCTTGGAAGAGGCGGTTGGCAGCCTCCTGGTTCAATCTCGTCCACAAGGCTGCCTTACCTCCTCCACGTCCAAAGCCAAGAAATTCAGCTGCTTCACGCAAACTGGACAAAGAGCTTTCCTCCGTGAGCTCGAAACCGTTCACCACCAAGGTTCCTTTGTTGTCGAACCATGGCAAAGGACCTTCCCAATCTCCATCAGCATCTCGCTGATCCACCTCGTCTGGATGTTGCTCATTCCCGGGGTTCAGCTCAAGGGGCACCATTGGTTCCTCAGTTTTCTTCTACCGAAGTGGCCACCAATTCAAACTCCAAGCCAGCTGCCCGTTCATAGTTTTTGCTCTCGTAACTGAACCTCACAGGGTTGCCCTTTGGAGTAGCCTTCCAAGCCCTGAAACCGTAGTTCTCCCACAACTTATGGAGGCTCACCAATGTCTGGACAATCATGACCTCATCATCATCCAGACCCTTGCTCTCTCCAGGCTCATGTGTGACTCTCCTGATCGTCCCATAAACTGCCAAGGAGTTCTTCTTGAAGCAAGATGGGATCTGGCACTCCTGATCAGGCGCTTGTAGATGTACATCTGCCTCCCCATCTCCTGGGATCATCCTCCAGCCTCTCTGCCACAGCCGCAAAAGACATGAGAGGTGCCTGGAAAGTCCTCCTCGATGAACACGGCTTTGTGGGTGACAATGCATTCCACCTGAGCAATCTTCCTACCGAAGGTTTTCAGTCTTCCTCCTGGGGCGTCCTCAAGAATGGCCTTACCTGCAACCCTGGCTCGGCCACATGCTCCCACGCTTCTGGGGAGCAAGCTGAAACCTGCACCCGAATCCAGCACAATCAACATGCTCTGGGCTGCTTCCTGCACAGTGCAAATCTGGAAGGTCTCCACTTTCTCCATTTGTGCCCCGTCTAAGGCATACCTGCGAGCGGACGTGTCCAAGTACCCCACATCACCTTCTTCTGAGTCCTTTTCATGCATCACGAAGCTGACGGTCTGGAGTTGGTAGTGGTCATCGTACAGACAACTATCGCCACCTTCCCTCTTAAGGTCAAACACCACAGGGACCGCTGATCATTCCTAGGCGTCTCAAGGTGGTACATCCTCACTTGTCTCACCTGAGGTCTTGCGCTTGTAGTGTATGCTGTAACAGCCACCGACGAACCACTGCCTTGAGCACGGGCTGTGCCCTGTGCCGAACTGGCAATGTCACTCTCAGCAACTTGAGGGGTTTGCTCATTGATGTTGGCCACATTCTGTCGATTGGAGCGTTCGTTACCCCAATGTCCTTGTTGACCACAAATCCTGCAAGTGTTGCGGTCACTTCTTCCTTTGCAACCAAGGTTCTGCTTGCCCTTTCCTTTCTTGCCCTTCTTTCCTTTTCCTTTTGCTTGCCTTTGCCCTTCCGGTTTTTGCCATTGTTCTTGCCACCAAAGCCATATGGAAACCAGCCACCTTTGGGTTTGCCCTTGCCGTTCTTTCCACCTCATTTGTACTTGCCCTTGTTGACATAGTTAGTTCACGCTGTCAACATCCATTGGCGCTGGACTGTTGGGCTCAGGAGTTCTGAAAAATGAGAATTAGGTTTCTCCACTCCAAACCCGAGAGTCCTGATCAAATGTTCCTTCAAAATTTCGTATGTGACCATGTTGTCCAAGGTCAGCTCCCAATGCCGTCGGAGGTTGGGCTCGACACAACGAAAGACAGTGGACGCCACTAGTCCGATGCCAGCCTGTATTGCTCCAAGGGCAGGTCCATCTGGAGCAAATTCTCTAGCATGCTATGGTGGCTCATGATGGTTTGGCCAATGGCCATCGTGCGAGGTCTGGTTTTGGGCATGTACAAGTTGCCCACTCCTGCCAAGCCAAGAAACCAATTTTTTCTGTGGGTTCGGCCCTGATCAAGTGGAGGGCCGGGCCTTTGATGTATGAGTCATATGAGGCAAAGATGGAATAAAGCCAATGGCTTGGTTCTCGAACTTTTGATCCGAGGCCTCAATCTGGAGTCCCCCTACGTCAGCCAGTTCGTGAATGCTTCACGCCTTGAGTTTGCACCAACCCAGCTGTCGAGGAAGATCAAGGCTTGGCCCACACCGGGTCTCTTTCTGCATCTGCACCCCTTCACGCGCTGTCCCAGGATCATCCAAAGGCTCGCTCCAAGCAGGAAAGAACAAAGCAAAACTGGTAGTCCAAATAGATCATGCGTCAGCATGTCAACAAACTTCTCCCGGGCACTCTCGCTGAAGAAGGTTCGAGTGTAGTCTCCAAAGGCCATCAATTCCTTGGATGTGGTGTAGTTGAAGTTTCGCTTCTCAGTGTTCAGAGCCTTCTCGATATCCATGCTGTAGCTCAAGCCATTATAACATTCTGCATGAAAAAGTCCGGGTGCCAATCCCCGACTTGTCGACATTGGCCAAAGCCTCCAAGGTCAAGACCAGCTTCCCGTTGTCGACCTGAAAGCAACTCCAGGTTCCAATCCCCCACTTGGGCTGAGCTCGACTTGTCCCCCTTGTAGCTAGTTTTCTCGTCTTCACGCTCAGTCCCGGCAACTAGGGCACCAATCCCATCTTGGCTGCCCTTGGTGGCAACAATCCACCCATCATCACTCAACTTCTTGCCCAAGGGGTGCCCATCCTCTTCGGCCATGGGCTCACAGTCCCCGGTCACCATTTCCAAGTTCTTCACCTTCACGAAGTCGATGTTCACGTCCTCCTGCACGTCCGCGTTGTAAGCCTGTCGCTCAATACATGGGCTCATCATCGTCCAAAGTAGTGCCAACGACATGGCTT